GATGACTGAGATGGCACTTCAAGGCCAAAGAAACTCCATTCCTAACGAAAAGGTCAAACACTTTGCGAATTAGCATATGAGAACTTCTGCGCACAAAATCTTGAATATAAGAAACATATGGACACTCTTTGACAATGAACAGCGTCAACTCCAATGAGGAACTAACAACGAACCAACTAGTGTTCATACCAACATAAAAAGTTTGTGCACAACACCATCTCAAAGATACCGATTCCAACAAAATAGACCCAAGAGGAGCCAATAACAAACCAACATAAATTAAAATACTCATTAAGAAAGACTCATAAATAATCTTACTAAGGTGGCACTTGACGGAAATACTAAGGCGTAAAATATGCAACAATCCATGAGAAGATAAAGGTGGGGTTTCCATAAGCCCCAAGCAAGAGCAAGGGGCCTGTGACTATGAAGTTTGTAGATTTAGTGTTTGGTGAGAAGAAATAGAGAAAGGGGAAAGCCCTTTTTCTACTTTATTTTTACCATTATGTGGGAAAAAAATATCCATTCGGATTTTTTTTGGTCTGAATCTATTTGAATATTGGAAGCAAAAAATATATTAGACCAATAGCTAGTTGATGGAATAAATATAATTTAACATGATCGCTTTCATGTTAACCCTTCGAGGTGGTGCTTAATCTTTACACAGGCAATCAAACTCTTCATCTGTCTTTGGACTCGAGGGCCAATCTCCATCTAGCCCCTTCTCTCTGCTTGTCCCCCTTGCCTACTTTGGTAAGAAACTTGAATTTTATAATGTTAGAGACGCCTTAAGTAAAGGTTTTAAGCTAAAAAAGAAAGAAAAAAAATGTCTCATGTAACGCAGTTTTGTGCCAACCCATGTTGCTAGCGTGATCGGTTTAACATAGATGAAAGGCTGTCTCATCCAACCAAGTTTCAATTACGTTCTACAATCATAGAGATTTTTCAGTGTGACCGGTACACGGGGTGGTACACCACGTGTCATTATATAAATGATGAGATATGTGTGTTAAAAAGTTAATAACTTAAACAATAAAATTTCCCACCACTCCTATTAAAACACGTGGTGTACCACTTATGTTTCCGTCATAACTAAAAATTTCTCCTACAATCAAACCAGCAGCATTGGGGGAAAATGAAACCAAGTGCAGAGATTAACTGTTATCACTTGAGTTGAGCCTACAACTTACATATTTTTATACTTGAAAAAAGATACCTAGGCTTAGGTTTGTTTTGGAGCATTTTGGTGAACTTCAAACTGAGGTAACTCCTTTGAATTATGACAATACTTCCGCAATTGTCATCACCAAGAATCCCATATTTCACCGGAAAAACCAAGCATATTAACCGAAGGTAGCATTTAATACGAAGTACTGCATAAAGGAATAATTGACTTGATTTACTGTCTGACAAAGGAGCAGCTACCAGACATATTCACCGAGGCACTGGCAAGAGATCAGTTCAACAAGCTCAGAGAGTTACTTGGAGTGAAATCAGTTCACAATTTAAAGGGGAGTGTTAAATTGTAAATTGGCGAATTTCTTTCTTTACTCCTAAGAAATGTGATGTGTAGTGTACTATCTGATTGGCTCACTCATATACACACTGAATGAAGGAAATAGTGCAGAGTCATATTCTTTGCACATTCCTGCAATTCCGAAATCTGTGAAATCATCTTCTTTTTCTTCTCTTCGATTTCCTTCTGTTTTAACCTCCTAACAAGAATCAAATAACAGTTCCTATATTCTAACACGATCATGGAAAAGAATATGAGAATTACAAACATCCTATTTGGTAGTCTTTCACTCCTGTTGTCCGATGTCACACTATAATTACTTAAAAAACATTCATCTAGTTTACAGACCAAAAGGGTTCAGATTGAGACACTGTTGGGAATTCCTTTTCCAGTCAGTCCACCCTCTCTACTCTTGTCAGATGTGTTAGGGTGAAGCAAGGTATAAGGCACGTCTACAGGCCCAACTCTGTTCTTCAATCTATTATCCTTGTTCCTTGCATCGATTCTCTTTTCGATGTCCATTAGCTTCTCTCCGAATCTTGCAAATGCTGCTAGTGCTTCAGCATCTGAAGTCCACTCAGGAGTATCGTTTTGCCCTAGATAAACCTCATCAGTCGAATGTCGTGATAAAATCTCTATCAGAGATACACCAAGGAGAGTTTGGAACTGAGCTGTAATTGTTTTAAGGAAAGCTGTGTCAGGGGAGGACACAAGCTCATAATATTCAGCAGTGCCTGGCTCAGGCATGAAACGTCGGCTTACAGTTGGGCGGTTAGGGAGGTAGCCAGCGTAAGAGTATTGCCCGAAATTGACTGCTGCATGGAGGGCAGAAGCCACCCATATGATTATGGTACATGATTCGATAAGTTCAGCTCTTGTTTGCATCTTAGGCCACCATGGTTCATTCTTCTTGTCACCGTGGCCTATATTGCGGAGCTCTGTCCACCAGTTCTGGAGTTCAGAATCACCTTGGACCACATCGTCCGATTGGTAGTACAAAGAGCAGTATTCATTAACCCAAGTTTCAATCGCCGACCAAATTTCTAGCCCATCAACAGCAAACGGGTAGTCTTCAATCAGAAGTCTCAGGCCATGAGGACAAGTCGTATCTGGAACTGCCATTCCTCTGAAATCGAACAGAAGCAAAATGACATTCAGTTTGATGGAAATTTAAACATTATTATTTTCAATTTGGGCTTTCTGGCTTACCTCTTGAGCAAGTCAGCAGGTAATGCCTGCTCGGTAAATACCCAGCTCTTATAAATAACAGCCGACATTTCCATGGAGAATCGACCTGGGAAGACTGTTTTCTCAAGCACCCCACCGGCATTGATGAGGATTTGCCTGGCCAGGGCATTTATGTTCATTGTGTCCCGGAAGTGCGGATGCAAAAGCTTATGTATCGGGTGAAGTACACTCAACTGTCTATTTGTTGTGATCACAAATGGCTCTATCACAGCATGTGTGTTTAACCTGCAAATAAAATTTATAAGCGTGTAAACTAGAACCCAAGCCGCTACCTGTTGCTCCAATACAGCACTTTGTATGTTAGGCATCTTACCAGTGGCTGATAAGCTGATGATAGCCAGAATCGTTTACAGCAGCATAAGCTTTGGCAAGCTGCCACACCGACTCCTCGATGCGTTCATTGCCTTGTCCTGGTGGAGTGAAAACTTTGCTGACAGCCCCATGACGGTCCCCTTGTGGATGTGGTAAGCTTAGCTCAATTGCCAAAGGCTTCAACGTCCCGTCTTCTTGCAGCAAGAGGAGAGTTCTTGTGGCATACGTCTTTGTGTCCGTTGAGTTTATTTGCCTCAGGTATAACATTAATGCATCATGATGATCTAATATGAATAGCCTGTTCTTTTCAGTTGCCTGTGCAAAAAGGGACAAAAATGATAATTTCAGTAGATACATTTAAAAAAAACATTGGATTAATATATTGGAGACAAATGAAGCATCAGCAGTACCTCTTCAACAGTGAGGCCATTCATGTTGCCTTTTATGTACTCTTCTCGTATCGAACTGTTCTGATTCCCATATACTTTAGGGTCTAGCTTACTGACTGGGGGAAACTCCTGTAGTTAGAATTTCGATGGTTATTTGAACAAACTTGGAACGTATCCTTATCACTATAATAGTCAAATGAATCAGGGAAACTTGTATTTTACTTTGAGGCGGGTGATGTTAACAGGGTTCACTCCTGCTAGCATTTCTCGTCCAAATTCTTTATCTGTCCTCCATGCAGACCTATCTTCTGCATTATATCAAGAAATCGTTGCAATTTAGTATGATAGTATGTTCAAAATTCAAGGAATTTAGCATATCTAATACCAGTCATTGGGGAAAGACGTATGTACTTTTAATCACATCAGGCATTGGAAACTTGAGAAATCGCTCGCCATCTGAGCGAATCAGTTCCTTAAGCAGCTCCCAAGGGATGCGCTCCCTTATTTTCTTCAGTGTAGGCCCATTTGGTAACTTGATACCTCCCTCGTAGAGATTAACTACGTCGTCAAAGGTGTCAAACTCATTGATAGTTTTATCACACAAAGACTTGAGTTCTGGAAGCAATATTTGAACTAGGGATTTCAGGCCATAAGCAAGAAAATCGGAAAACTTCACGTGGCCAAACCGCTCATCTCTTGGAACATAAATGTCTAGACTTAGAAGCGGCAGTCTGCTCTCGGAATTGGGGTCTGTACGAAGCATGAAAGAAAATTGGTCATAGAACCGTAAGAATTCTTCATGTCGTTCGTGTTCTACGCCATATCTTAACTTAGTCAGGACTTAATTAGCAAAATGAACTATTCAGGTTGCTGACCGGTTTTAGTTGTTTTTCGACCAGTTCTTCCTCTTCTTGGATATGGATACTCGTACGACCCACCAAGTATAGGGCGGGCATATTTTGGACCCTTGTCAGGACTCCCTAAATCATTGTAGTAAGCATAGTCATAGACCCTGTCCCACTCCTTTAGCTCGCCTGATCCACTCCCTCGGAGATTGGCGAGTTCTTCTTCCCTGTAAGGGTGTAGTAGCTCAGGTGTTTGAGATGGCAGGTAGGCCTGAACAAAAACATGAAGTTTTCAGTCAGTGCAATCTCATAAGTACCTTAGCTAAAATTATAGCTTTTAAGTTGCATTTCTGCGTGTCATTGGTCACAGATTTAAGCAGGGAAGTGATTCAGCACGGCTCTTTTATTTTCTTTCACTCTTATACATTTGGTGGATCATAGGAGTAGAAAGTAAAACTAAATAAAAGTGTGCGAAAATCATTTATCTTTCAATAATTTAGAAAAAATACCAATTTGTTGTAACTTCTGAAAATTGTTCAATGAAATCAGATATGAAATTTTATAATTAATAAAACATGGTATTTTTATGTGCAAGTGCTAATCCAGCTGGAAAAGTAGCGGATTGTGATATTTCCACTTTTGGTCAGTAAAGCTTCATACTATAGAGATTAAAAGGATCAATCATGACAAATCTGACCACAAGGGTCGGATAAGATAAGATCCAGATTTCTTCGATTCTTAAATAGAAAAAATACAAGTGAAAAATGTGTCTCCCTATTGCATGTTATATTTTGACATTATGTTAATTAACCAGACTGAATGTATACCTTGTTGGGGAAAAATATCCGATTGTACTTGTAACGATGTGCTGGGTATACCCAGGAATTGCAGACAAAATGGAGTTGACCGTGCTCGGGAACATCTTCTAATGTTATTGTCTTGAGGTAGAATTGGCTATGGTGATGGTTTCTGATCAGCAAAGCGCCGGGAGCTCCATGGGACTCATCCCAATCCAAGGAAATGGTAAAACTAGTTTCACCGGCCGACAACGATGTAATGGTTGTAGCCCATTTCTCCAGGTAAGCAACCTTTCCAAGCTTCCCTCTCGGTTTCAATCCATTTGCTGCACATGAATAAGAATTTATGTCAATTTCAGCTCTGTTAAAATCTTAATATAGTAATTATCTTCTTCAACATATGTAGCTTTTGACTTTGTATCCAGTTATGCGGGTTCCCATTAAAAGTAAAACCATGCGTTCAAAACTTGAACAAAAGAATTTTAGTAAACTAGAAAACACCTTCACAACTATAAGTTTTATACAAAAGCACATGAAGAGATCAATTGGGGAGGAAAACCTCTCATTCGTAATTTATCTACTTGTCATGCAATAAATGATTCGCAGTTGTGAAATTCTTATGTTGTCCTCCCCAATTACCAAGTAAGTGGAACATTTTTTCTTCTAAAGTATCAGATTTGATATGATATATTTTTCTCAAATGTAAAGTTAGTTTATTTAGAGCTTACGTGTGAAAAACTCAAAGCATTTTAGTGAGTGAATTGTTAATTCGATTCAACTGAAGGAAGAGAGACTGACCTGCTGCTTCAGGATGAGTGGCACTAATGAGCTGCATGGAAACACCTTTGCCCAAGAGCTCATGGATTCTATCAACGAACGAAGCTTTGAGGTCGTTGAAGTCCAACACATTCTTCTTCATCAACACAACTTTTCCTCTGATTCTGTTGCTCCCACTCACCATGTAATCTGGCTTCTCGTCGTCATTGTCCTTCTCCTTGTCCTTCAAACAATATGCTTCCATCACTCTACTCACCGCTCTTGTTGAACTTGGACAGAGCCCACCCCTCAGAAAAAAGGTCAAAATCTCAGGAAGATGGATGAGAATGTGGGAAGGGATTTAGCTCTGTGTTCGAGTAAGATGTGAATCAGGTAATCCTTTCCTCCTTTTGAGGGAGGGTTTATTAATGATATTTCAGATTAATGATTTTATTTTTTTTTCTTTTTTTTGGACTTTTATTGACAACACACTGTGGGATCCTTGTGGAACTTTTAATATTTCTCTCTTTACTAGTGAACAATTAAAGGACTGGATTCCATCTTGGCAAACCCAATCGCTATGTATTTATTTAATAAAGTGCATACAATTGTATATGTTACATGACGTAAATTTATCGTTTTATTGTACAAACGTCATAATCAGAATATTTTATTATTTTTATCTCATATGAAGATCATCTTTAAAAAAACATTTGTTTGATTTAGACAAGATAACAATTAATCATGAAGATAATACTTGTTACTATTACACAGATTCATTCGTACATATGACTGATTTAGTTTAGTAAGTGATGTTAGAATGATCATCTACTTGAAATATATTTGGTAAATTACACAATGTGGCGATTAATGGTTAAATTCATTCTTTAAATCATTACATAAACAATCTAATCATCAACTGTCACATCATGTGATCTATAAAATATGATTAAAAAAATGATGTCCTTAGCTTTTTCCTTAATTGAATGATAAAAAATAAAGAAAATAACTTGGTATAGTAATGTAAAGAGTAATAACTCTTATTATCTTTGTTTATTACAGTATAATAATTTTATTTGAAATCATTTGGCAATAATATTAATATATACATGTTGGCATATATTTTATGTATTCTCTCATCTTGGTCGAATATATTTTATGAAGGGTTAATATCAGTTTACTATCCTTAAGTTTCTTGGTTTTCAACATTTGGTACATGAAGTTTTTTTCATCCCAGATTGTTACCTGAAGTCAAAATTTTGGGATAGTTTCATACATCCGTTAAGGTTGCTGTTAAGTCAGCCGTTAACTAGTGATGTGGCATCCACATGAACAATGACTAGATGTCCTGTGTCAATATAGGACCCAAATGAATATTAAAAAAATTTAAAAAAATTAATTAATTTTTTTTAAAAATAACCCCAATCCCATCTTAACCCTCATTCTTCTTCTTCGATTCCCTCTCTCTTTGCCCCTTCTCTCCATAACCACCACTTGCTCACTCCTTTCCTAAACCCCTTTCTTTCTGCTATGCAATCCAAACCCAGACACAAGGGCCGAACCCCCGTCTACTGATCACGTCCCTGCAGTCCGTGACTGTTAGCATTTAAGTGATTTTAACTGAAATAAGTTTATATTTTACTTGTTTTAATCAGAGCCCTTGGATTACATTCCAAATGGATGCTCTAGATTAAGTTAAAGTAAGTGGTGTTGAGTGACACATGTAACTATCTCATAGGATAGATAACATGAATGGCTGAGATTGTTTTCATTCTGTTAGAGGAGAGAGAAAGGCAATATTCCCTCCTCAGTGAAACGGTAATATTCGTTTTGCTATGTAAGAGAGAGAGTGAGCAATTTCAATGAGAATGAGTCTGAGGCTTTCATTACTCTGAAGCTTTCTGAAATTATTCAATCCCTATTCCAAAAATCTTTCTTAGATCGATTGAATCACAGTACAAAAATCACACAATTGAACATGGCCTCAGAGCCAGGTTGCATCATCTGCAACTAGGCGTGAATCTGTGAAGAGCACAGCGAAGAACTCGAACTAATCGTCGAACTTTGTTGCTAAAGGAAAATTCAGAGAAGAAATCTCAGTGATCTTGAATTGAGTCTCATATGGCTGGGTCAAATGGTGCTGATCTTCGAGCACCGGTATTCAATGGAGACAACTTCGATTTCTGGCATATTCAGATGAAGACCATATTCCGATCTTATGAACTCTGGGATGTTGTTGAGAAGGGTTTCGCTACTCTGGCGAAGAAGGATGAAGAACTCACTAAAGCTGAGAGCAAGCTGGTGAGGGAAAACATAGTCAAAGATGTAAAGGCACTTGGAATCATCCAAGGGGCGGTTTCTGATTAGATCTTTCCAAGAATCGCCATCCAAAAGACTGCATATATAGGTTGGAATGTCCTAAAGCAAGAATTTGTAGGAGATAAACAGGTAAGAGCTGTGAAACTCCAAGGCTTTTGCCGTGATTTTGAATATACTAGAATGGGTGAAAATGAAGCTTTCTCTGCATATCTAGTTAGGCTATTTGATTTGCTTAGTCAAATGAGGAGTTATGGTGAAGATATTAGCAATCAAAGAGTTGTTCAAAATTTGCAGATAAGCTTCCCTAGATCGTATGATAGCATTGTTTCTGTGATTGAAAATACTAAAGATCTAGACACTGTTGATGTTCAAGATGTTGTTGCTATTCTAAAGGGATGTGAATAAAGAATTGATAGGCATGATGAGATTCACACTGAGAAGGCATTTGTTAGTCTCAATATTGCTTCAAAACAAAATAAGTACAATGGGAATCAAGGGTTCAAACCACAGAAGAATTGGAAGTCAAAGTGGAAGAAAGGGGATAATAGACCTGTAAATCAAGCTGGAAAAGCTGCAGGTATCTCTGAAGAAGCTAAGAATGTTTGTATACACTGTGATAAACTGCATTTTGGTGAATGTTGGTTCAAGGATAAGCCTAGGTGCCATAATTGCCATAAGTTGGGGTATATTGCAAAAGATTGTCGTGGGAAGAAGGAGAAGGCTAACCAACATGTAAACTTTGTTAATCAAGTCAATGACATTCCTACAATGTTTTATGTCTGCAATAATGCCATAGTGAAGAAATGTGAAGACACATGGTATGTAGACAGTGGATGTAGTAACCATATGACTGGAATGGAGGATTTGTTGGTTGACATTGATAGAACTATGACTGCTAAGGTTGAAATGGGCACTGGTCAGCTTATTGAGGTCACAGGGAAAGGAAATTTGGTAGTTGACACCAAAATGGGAATAAGGTATATCAAGGAAGTGATGTTAGTTCCAGGTTTAAAAGAAAACTTGCCCAATGTAGGGCATATGATGGAACACGGTTTCTTTCTTGTATTTGGTGGTACAACTACAGAAATATATGATGATAGTTCTATGTCTAATTTGGTAGAGTTTTCCCTTGAAACTTCAACCTGAGATGTAGATTGCTCTAAAGGCTAGTGTGTGTCAGTCTTCTACAATCTGGCATAAGAGACTAGGATATTTGAATTTAGGCAGTTTGAAGCAACTCGAAGAACATGATATGGTGTTAGGATTGCCTAATCTCAAAATGACAGATGAAATATGTGAAGGATGTGCTCTTGGGAAGCATTGCAGAGATGCATTTCCAAATGAAGCATCATGGAGGGCTTCTGTACCTCTAGAACTCATACGCTCTGACATCTGTGGACCTATGCAAACTCTTACAAAGGCTGGAAATAGGTATTTTCTTACCTTTATAAATGACTGCACTCGAATGTGTTGGGTGTACTTCTTAAGAAACAAGTCGGAGGTGTTTAGTATATTCAAGAAATTTAAGTCCATAGTTGAATTACAAAGTGGTTTCCAATTGAAGAAGTTGAGGAGTGACAGAGGATGAAAGTATACATCTGTTGAGTTCAGAGAATTCTGTGAAGAAATGGGCATGGAAAGATAACTAACAGTGGCATACACACCTTAGCAAAATGGTGTAGCTGAGAGGAAGAATAGAACCATAGTGGAAATGGCAAAGTGTATGATGATTTAGAAGGGTATTCCATTTGATTTCTAGGTAGAAGCTGTTAATACAGCAGTGTACATCTTCAATAGATGTACCACTAAGTCTCTTGATAAGAAAACCTCATTTGAGGCATATAGTGGGAGGAAGCCAGGAATCAAACACTTAAAGATCTCCGCTTCTATTTGTTATGCCCACATTCCAAGTCAACTTAGACATAAGCTAGATGGAACCAGTACTAAATGCATTTTCTTGGGATATGGCACATGTGAGAAAGGTTATAGACTTTATGACATTTTCTCAAAGAAGATAATTGTGTCACATCCAAATCTCAATCTGATAAGACTATTAGTGTACTAATGCCTGAAGGGAGAATGTGTGAGCAAAGGGAAGAAGGGAGTTCAAGTGACAAAGGTGTTGTAAATGATGAGTCCTTGATATCATCATCTAAAACCTATAAGTCAATTGAAAATGGCTCAAGGCTGATACCAATGCAGAACAACACAAGTCCCTAAGACTATGATCACACTCTTTTGAAGTTCAAAAGCTTGACAGAAGTATATGCGAAATGCAACTTGTGCATTGTTGAGTCTGAGAACTTTGAGGAGGCAGCATAAGATGAGTCATGGCAGAAGGCAATGAAGGCCGAAATTGGCATGATAAAAAAGAACTGCACTTGGGAACTTATTAATAGACTATTTGATAAACTAGTAGTTGGTGTCAAGTGGATCTACAAAACAAAATTGAACCTAGATGAGTCTATATAGAAGAATAAGGCAAGGTTAGTTGCTAAGGGATACTCTCAAAAGCCTGGGGTCGATTTCAATGAGACATTTGCCCATATGGCAAGACTTGACACTATTAGGACTCTAATTGGGCTTCCTGCACAGAAAGGATGGAAGTTGTTCCAACTTGATGTGAAATTTGCATTCTTGAATGGGGTTCTTATTGAAGAAGTATATGTAGACCAGCCACTTGGTTTTGTAATTGAAGGCAAGGATGACAAGGTTTACAAGCTCAAGAAGGCCTTGTATGGTTTAAAACAGGCACTAAAGGTCTGGTACAAAGAGATTGACTCTTATTTATGCAATTATGGTTTTCATAAAAGTCCAAGTTAGCCAACTCTTTACATCAAGGCAACTAAGGCAGGAATTCTCATTGTATCCTTGTATGTGGATGACATTATATATACTGGAAGTTCAAGTGCATTGATGGATAATTTTAAAGCAGATATGATGAGAAAATATGAAATGTCTGATCTTGGTCTATTGCATCATTTCTTGGGGATTGAAGTGATTCAAACAGAATGATGCATTTTTCTGCATCAAAAGAAATATGCAAAGACCTTATTAGAGAAGTTTGGATTGAAGGATTGCAAACCTGTTGTAACTCCACTTGCAGCAAATGAAAAACTTAGCAAAAAAGATAGGAGTGAAATGGCTGATGAAAGTCTTTATAGGCAAATGGTTGGTAGCTTGTTATACCTAATAGCTACAAGACCTGATATCATGTTTGTTGTAAGTTTGCTAGCTTGATTCATGCACAATCTAACTAGGAAAACACATGGGAACTGCAAATAGGGTACTGAGATATATCCAAGGATCACTGGACTATTGGATTGCATATGA